CTCTTCCCAGCTAGCCTGGCATTTGCAGTGGGAGAAGTTCCTCTTAACCAGAGGATTTGCAGAATGGCTCTGATTGTGAGCCAGTTCAGCAAGCATGGCCTCTGTAATCCTTGTTCCCCAGAACACGTGAAGCATCTCGACGTAGCATGAACACTGTCAGACCATGGTGAGCGGCACTAGCTCATCACCAGTTCCTTAAAAGCTGTCCCAGTGCTTCTGAAGATGAAGTAGTTTAAAATTGGAGTCTTAGCTGAAGTTAGTCTTTAGGATTCCTCTTGTAGCTTTGGGATGGCAACAGGAACCCTGTGGCACTGTTCTACCAAGGGGTGGTTGTTAACTTGGCACACTTTTGCTTTTCCTGTTCTTGTAGGAAAAGGTAGTTCAAGAAGTGACGAACTCAAAAGAAAGTGCGAAGATCTTGAAGCCCAGCTGAAAGTCAAAGAGGCTGAAAATAATGAATTACTGAAAGATCTTGAGCAAAAGAATGCGATGATAATGGTGCTGGAAAACACTATTAAAGAAAGAGAAAAGAAGTATTTGGAAGAGTTGAAAATGAAAAGCCATAAGCTCAACATGTTGTCGAGTGAACTAGAGCAGAGAGCGAGCACTATTGCCTATTTAACTTCTCAGCTGCATGCCACGAAGAAGAAGCTGCTGAGCTCCAGTGGGACTTTGGAGGGGACCCCTTCTGGCAGTCCCGTGCTGTCCAGCTATAAGCCGTCCCCTCCCAAGGATAAACTGCCGGAGACTCCGCGGCGCAGGATGAAGAAGAGTCTGTCAACGCCGCTCAACCCCGAGTTTGAAGAGGCCTACAGAATAGGGTCGGATAGCCGCAAGCTGCTGCTGAGAGAGCCTGTGGATGCCATGCCTGACCCCACGCCGTTTCTCTTGGCCAGGGAGACGGCAGAGGTACATCTCGTTAAGGAGAGGCCGTTAGTTATTCCACCGATCGCTTCCGATCGTGCGTCCGGTGAATCGCACAGCCCGGCCCGGGAGAAGCCGCACAAGGCACACATCGGGGTGGCGCATCGGATCCACCACGTCGCGCCGTCCCAGCCGCAGCCGGAGGTGGAAACGCTGGCAGTGGATCAGGTCCACGGAGGCAAAGTGGTCAGAAAGCACTCAGGGACAGACAGAACTGTTTGAGGACAGGCACCGAAACGCTCTACTCCATTGCTGTTTATGCACTGTGATCCTGTAGGATAAATAGCACCTGCAGTAAAGTTTCTTTTGATGCGCCATGCATGCCAAACTTCTTCCAGATACATCCTTAATAGATTACGCTCCTCTAATGAACCCTAACATGACTGTGTTCATATGGCAAGGTAGACGACTACTAAATGCTGTGGCCAAATCGGGGCTCCCTGACTGCTTGCTTCGGAGCGCTGCTCCCCTCACCGCAACTACACGTGTGGACAAAGGCACGGGCTGCAGGCTGCGTTATTGATCAACATCAGTGACAACAAACTTCGCTGTACACCTGCAGCAGTGTGCATTGGCTGTTAGCGTCTGAACTGTCGTGGTTCTTTTGTCTTCACCGTGTGCGTCCACTCCATACACACGCAGGACCCGCGGCAGCAAAGCCTCTCTCACAGTGGCATCGCAAGGAACGCAGATGCGTGTGTGCTGTCAGATGAACTGAGGACAGCTGCTCCTCCACCTGCACGTGCTCTCGGTTGCAAATCGCGTTCAGTTTCTCTTTCTCAAAGTCCTGAGAGTCCCAGCAAGTATTACTTGATGAATCCTCCATCCTTTGGTTTGTGGCTTTGTTTAAGTAAAAAAGAGGGGGAGGGGGGACGAAGCACTCTTTAAAAGGGTTAGCGAGCCTCACAGAAAGAGCATGGACAGGGGCTGGCTGGGCTTGGGTTTTTTTTAATTGAACGGCTCCATTTCGCATTTCACACTAGTCAGTACACTGCACTTGTCGCACCTTCCACACTGGCTCAGCGCTCCTTTCCCAGGGAGAAAACGTGACTGGCTATCCCATGCGGAAATGGTTCGTTATGCTCGAACCTGCACTTTTTTTGTAAAGGGATTGTTTTTGTTTCCTGAGAGCCTCAGTCTTGTTCTGGGCATCATCAGACAGTGCTGGCTTCTGCCAGCTTAGAAACCTGAGCTGTCCCTCTGAAATGTGTGTATTTAGTTTTAATTTTAACTGCTGTAACCACTTGGTACAGGAGGAGAACCTGGCATTCCTTGATTTTTGTCCTCATGGATTGGGATGGCCTTGCCTTGCACTTGCCCTGGTTCCCCTACTCCTTTCTAGTGAGCACCAGGTAGACAGACCCTACAGCTGTTAGACTACTTGATTAGTTTTTTATTATTTTTTTCCTAGGAAAGAAAGGCATACTGAGAGCTGTGAGAGTACGTACTTTTGGGAAAGGAGCACAAATTTGACCATTTTTCTTAAATTCCAATCGGCACCTCCAGCTCACCTCTGCTTCACTCTTGTCTGCAGCCTCTGAGTAGGACCAGCAAGAAACAATGGCTCCCAAATGCTGCTAAGCTTATGATGTGCCTTCAAAACTCGGAACGCGTAATCTCTGCGACAGCTGTGAAGGATTCCTGCCTGCCCTCTGCCCTCCCCTTGCCAGCTGTAGTCCGCCCCTCCTGAGCTTCTCCTGCAGCTGCCTGTTGGTGTGTGTCTCCCTCTGGAGCCTGGGATCACTGTCTGGCCGCTTCCCCCGCAGTGGCCCTGGCAGGGTGATGAAAGCTGTTCTGCCCAGCGGTGGTGGCACTGCGAAATTTCCTGTGCGGCATGACACCCGGCAGCAGGGCTGCTCCCTGTCGGAGCGGGCTCTGTGCCCTGCCCCGTGCGCCCTCACCTCTCGGCCACTTGCTGCGCAGAAGCCCAAGAAAGACTCGGCAGTGTTAGGCCTTGCCGGTCGCGCGGTAGGATTGGTTTCGTGGCTGGCGGGGAGGGACAGGGAAACGCTGTGTTGCTGGAAGACAGTTGGCTAAAGAAAGGTGGTTATTCTGTGGTTTACTATTTTTAAGTGTATTGCATTAACCAGCAGTGGTTTGGGGTTCTTTTGGTGGTTGTTGCCATATTTTTATGGCGATCTGTTGTATGACTGATTTACCCTGCCACTTGTTCACGGATGGTAGAAGGCACCGCTTCGAAGCACAGCAGAAGTGATGCTTTGGGCAATTAAAACCACTTCTTACAACCATACAGGCCAACCTCAGTCTTTGTGTGTGCGGGACTAACTTATTACCTCTTCTGTGCACAGAGACCAGCTTGGGACCTTTCTGAAAGGAAATGCAAATTACGGAAAACGCTGTTCTCTACAAAGGGGTTTATTGGTTGTGTCGTACTGGGTGAAGTCAGGTGTGCCCAAGTGACGCTACCCCACCCGTGGGGCTGAATCTCTGCCGGGTTTGGTTCCTGTCCCCCTGCCGCAAGGGCTGGGGTCTGGGGGGAGAATCAAGGTGTCAGTCGGTGTTCAGGGTGAGACAAACGCCTTGGAGGACCCAGTGGGAAATGTGCTTTGTGGTGTGGAGATCCGCTTCGAAAACAAGGCCGACACCCATCGCGTTCCTTCTCAGGGAGGTTGTGTACACGGGAGTCCGGAGGGTGTTCTGAAAGCAGGGAGTAAAGAAGAACACTTAGTGCTGCGAACGCTGCGGGGAACTGGAGACAAGAACGGACTCTAGGAGAGAGGAGGATCTTCAGAAAATGGCTTTTTTGTTGTAAGTCTTAAATAACTGATACCCAGAAAATGTCAACATCCTTTGTCATGAACTGGTAATGGGAAGTAGCGAAAGGAGTAGTGGGGTTATAAGCAGGTCCCAAGATGGTTCCACACTGCCTACGTGGAAAAGAGGGAACGAGCATACTGACCCCTCAAGTGTCACCCCTGGGAAAGGAAAACTTCAGCTGTGGTTAATGTGAGGAGAAGTGTCAAACTGCATAAGTGGTACACCAGAGCTAAGGACACAGCCCTGCTGCTTGTGCCAAGGAGGGAGGGACTGCCAGCTCAGGGGTGTGAAAGCAGGAGGAGGTGATGAGCTCATGGGCCGTGGTGTCCCCGAAGGTACCTGCAGTTTGAGCCTGCGTGCTTCAGTGGGGATGATCTTAAGAAGGGGTAGCTCCACCACCAGGACACCAGGCTTGCTTTTGGTCAGGCAGCCGTGCTCCACGTCCCAGTCGGCTCCTTCCAGAAACAGACCAGACACAAAGCAACCTGGACAGGTAGAAAATGCAACATCTCCGGTTAACTGAGCTACTCAAAAATCCGTTTCAGACAGTTGTTCCTGCAATAGCTGTCCTTGGCAGTTACCCTCATGACAAACCTCACTTCTTCATTTCAAACGGCAGCTCCACAGAGGTGTATTTATCTGTGGTGTTTGCTTTTATGGTAGAACTCTGCCCTAGTGTGTTTAGAAACTTTTTTTTTCCTAAATCAGAACTGTCTCAGCTGCACTGGATGTGATAACCATTGTTAGGAATAAATGCTGCTGTGCTGGCAGCTCTTCCCCACAGCGGGTGCCCTCCCCAGTGACATGCCCCAGCCATAGCCAAGGTGTCAGAGAGCTTTTCACCGCGTCGCTGACTAAAGGTGAAGGGCTGGCATAGAGCTCTTCTGGCACGAATACCAAGCGCTTTGATGAAACGTTAGTAAATAAAGAACAGTCTAGGTGGGTCCTTGAGGTGACTTATTTTTAACTGAAACTTAGGTTTAGCAAGAACAATCAGATTTTCTGTTGTCCTCATCTGGCCAGGTCTGGTACTCAGAATTGGCTCTCCCTTTACCCAGGGTGTGATCTATTTAGTAAGCAGAGCAGTGCTAGTCACAGAAATTTCATAAGGACATATTGACACAACAAATCGTACATAGTTGTGTTTACTGTTTGCCTAAATATTTCAATATATTATTTGCAGTGTAATAATAGGTCTCCACCAAGCTGCTGGGACTGGTAGTGTTCTACCCGTTAAGAAAAAAGCAAAGAGCGCGAGCAAGGCAGAGGGGTGGGTTCAAACACGTGCATGAGGCCGAGAAGAGCTGGAGAAGGAACCTCATGCTTTGTGTGTGCAGGGCCTCAGTATGGGATGTACTCAGCAAGCCAGGCAATCTCCCCCTCACCAATTAACTGTTATTTTTGCCAAATAATCCTAAAAACGCCTACCTTGAGTAGACCCTTCAGTGATGCTTTCTGCGGTCCTGTACTTGGTCACCTCGGTGTAGAGGGTGGAGTGGTCCAGGGGCCACTTGTTCTTCCTGCAGGTGGCTTGAACAAGCGCGGTCAGGTAGGCCTGTGGGACGTGCAGCCCTGAGAGCCACATGGCCTTTGGCTCACCCTCGTTAACCTGCAATCAACCACAGGAGACACGCTGCAGCACTGGGGTCTCCCACCACACCTGGCACTTGGCCCGAGGGCAGGGCTCCTCAGACCAGCCCGTGGCCAGCATGCGGTGCGGCCCGTGTTGTGCAAGGGTTCGTTACCGTTCGGGGTGGTGATTGGCATTAGTGCAAGTAACTCATCCAAAGCAGGGCCTGAGCACTGACTTCTGCACCAGTGTGCACAGTGTGTTGTGCAGCTCAACACAACAAAAAGCTTTCTGGAGGCACTTGCTTACCCAGCTGATGTACTGGCTATACCGAGCTCTGAAGTAAACAATCCAATTTCCAAGAGTTTTGAGTGTGTCGGGGGCCAGCCGCCGCCAGATTGCAGGAATCTGTCCGTTAAAGAGAGCCCGAGCCACATCATCCAGTTCACTGCTCATTCCAACTTCCCCAGCCAAGGCCTGGAACGAGGGTGAGAGGCTGAGTGCCAGCCCGGGGCAGGTAAAGCCTGGCCGATGTCGTCCCGTAGCTGTGTTCTTACTTACCCGCTGCAGTTCAGCCAATGACTTTGCCATTCTTACAATCAGCTTATTAAAACGTTCCAGTTCCTGCAAGAGCACCACAGTCGTAGGGGAGATGTCCTCTCCAAAACCTTTCCGTATCTGGTCCAGATCGAATACTTGCGGTATTTTGTTTGCTATATCCTTAGCAACATTTGCAATATATTCATCTCGACTAATTCCTGTACCCGTTTCACCTGAAACAAAAATGGTTTAGTGAGCCTGAATCTGCATCGGTTACCCCTTCTATTACTAATTTGCTAAGAGAACTTTGAGACCTGACCCACCTTTTGGCACT